TGCTGAACCACAGTCCTGGCAAGCCCAGGATACAGGAATTGTTCCTCAACAACTCTCCCAAGGAGGCAGAACAGAAAGAAGGAAAAAGGCAGAGCTCTGGGTTTGGGAGAGCAGCCTGCAGCTCCGCAGAACACCCTGCACTTACTTGCCCTCCTGCTCTTTGTGTTGCCCTGGGAGGTGTTCTCTGACAGCACAGTGCTAGCCAACAGCAGTGCAACTCCACACTGACTTCAACAGGGGGTAAAAGGTGTTTCAGTCCTAACCAAAGCACTGCTGGGTTTTCTGTTAAAAACACCCCAAAACAGCTGTGAGTTATGCCCAATAAGTTTAATAATTGATGAAACCATAGCAGGTGACAACTACAAAATACAAAGCAGACACGAAAAATAATGGCATAACAGTGGGAAGAAATAGGTCTGCGATGAAAAATGAAAGCAAAATACACGTAACAGAGGATATGTGTTCAGATATAACACCCACGGTCACATACAACACCGCATTAGTAACAGCACACACAGATACTCATTACACTGGGGATTTTCACAGTTCTCCACTTCATCCCAGATGACAAGTAAATTGATGTTTTTACTCTCTTACATAAATTCTTGTGCACACAACATCATCAGCACCAAAGGTCTGGAAAAGAAATAGAAATCAATCAGAAGAGATGGAACCAGCAAACATTTAACACTTTTTTAATGTTATCTTTACTATAGTAGCTAGTTCTACAGCAGAAATACATTTTCCTATGTCTTTTGACAGATGAGAGTAAAGAAAGGAGTCATTCTGGAAGAGGAATGCAGTGTAAGTGACCTTTTTTCCAAGGCACGATGAATTTTGTCAAAATGATAAATGACACAGAAATTCCCCTTTTCTATAGTTTCTTGGCATGCAATTATACATAAACATGAAAAAACAAAGAGAATTTGGAATGTACTGTTGTTATATTTAGAAAGATTTGCAGCACTTTGAACTGGAAATGCTGGGGGTGGAATTCAGATGGCATGTTCAAAAGGTATTCTATGGTATCTGCAGATATAAATCTGAGGAGTTGCAATGAAGTCAGTGGAACAACGCTGAAGACCAGGAGAATGTATACCTATAACCTGTAAATGTAATGCAGCTGCAAGATGCTGACGCACCATGCTAGGATACCAAACCCCCCTCTCCCAAGCTGTAATGTGGGCAGTGTCAATCACAGCCTTCCTTCAGGATACTCTAACCTTCACCAGTGAATTTTTAAACTATTATAAGGGTCTGAAATGAGGGCACATAATGTTGTAGAGATCAAATTCATTTCACATGACTAAACACCTGTGAGATCTCACAAAAGTTTGATCACTACACATCAGAAAGTCACTGACTTACTACAGGCTATGTCCCATTATCATCCCATCTCTTACACCACATTCAGCACCTCAGAGCAGCCAGGCTTGCCAGATGCTTAGAGCTGGTGTTATATGCTGTTACACTACTGACTGAAACTGAGTTTCAGACATGCATCGGAAAACCTGCGGTTTTTAAATCGCTCTGTAGTGCTGCACTTACACTTAGGCAGGACAGTGATTGTGGCAGCTGTCTGAGAAAGCGACCTAATCCCTAGAGCGTTTGTATGTCAGTTCAGGTGTGGCAGGCTAAAATCTAAGCAAGCAATTAAACATGGAGGAAATAATGGGTGCAAGAGTGAGGAAATACCAACTGCAAAAAAATTCACGTTCAGCTACACTGACAGACAGATTCAATCTCACCACTAACAAGTTGCGAGGTGGGATGTTTGGCTGTAATAACTGCCAAGGTCTCACTGAAAAGTATAATTAAGACCTACCCCAGTGTGCTATGAAAATTCAGCTGGACTTTATTTGTTTTAATGCTTTCTATGCCTGTTTTAGCCAACACCTCTTTGAAAGCAGTTGGCTTTAAAACCGTCTCTGGCTTATATTTTGTTCACTTTATTGAGGAGAAAGGTCTGTAAGTACTTTGGAGATATAGGCTTTGTTTTTATGCATATAAAGAGCTTATCATACCAATCTTATATACATTTTTAGCTTGTACACGAAAATGTCTGAAAATTAATGTTAAAGGACGCAGATTGTTCTCCAGGAGCTTTGCCAGAGAAAGCAAGTCAGAGTCAAGACCATCCAGGGCTTGAGGCTGTCTGTGGAGACTGGAAGGTCACTGTGACAGTGGTTGCCTTTCTAGGGCGCATTCAGGCACTGCTAAGCACAGTGAAGTTTGAGCCTCCTGCTGCTATTTCAACACAAATCACAGATGATAGTAAAACAGTCTTTGTGTAGTGTTCTTCACGAGCTGGCACGGCCCCAGTCTGACAGTTGGAACTGCACAGCTACGCAGCCACATCTTGTGATGTCAGCGGGTGCCACATCAGCCAGTCCTAATGAGAAAGGCTGCAGCAGCAGTTTGCCAAAACTCTTGTAACCTCCCTAGTAAATTAATGTCCATTCTTTCAGGAAAATGAAGAGACAAACTCCTCCGCCTAAACCTGTGCAGCAGCAGTTATTCTCACAACAGGTCAGCAGTTGTATTGAGAGGGAACACTGCAGGGAACAGTAGATTGAAATAGATGTGATCCGTACTGCAAGTCTCTCCTAGGGTGCCACTGCAGGGCTGAGTGTCTGAAGTTCTAGTGTCCAGCTCTGAGACTGCGCTTCTGGGCAGAGCTTGCTCCTGTGACATCAGTGTAGCCTGACTGGCAGCTTCCTTGCAAGACCCACAGAAGGGAGCGCGAAAATTAAGATAAAAATTTGTGGCGGAAGAAAAAAGAAATAGTAACTTTCTGGGAAAGCTCAGTAGTATGGGTGCATCCCGAATGCATTGCAGAGGCAGCAAGTCCACTTGGTATGCACACAGACCGACTGCTGTGCAGAGTCACAGCTCGACACACTTGTGACAAAGCACAATGGAGGTTTGTTTTGTACTTCCAACATCCAACATCTTTATGATCTAGATTATATAGAGATAAAATTCATGCCAAGCCCAATTACAATTACTCTGTAGTATCATGTAGCCACTGGGCACTTCTCAAACAGTCAGGCATCCTTTCCTTGAAGACCCAGCTTAGGTTATGTGGCCTCTGACCTGCTTCAGAAATAAGCTGTGATTTTTAGCACTTAGATTTTATGCCTTACACCTATTCAGATGATTAGTGACCCAATTCCATACTGAAGCACACAAATAAATGGCTTTGATTGTCATGATTGTGTACATGGTTTAAATGTGGACCTATGTAAAAGGTGTGTCCCTATCTTACTGTAACTGACTACCATTGTTGATAAAACTCCACTAAATGTTGCTAAACAAAGCAGAGGGGAATGTGTTCAAACTTGCTGCATTCCTTTTCTTGTGGTTACTCACAGAAACATCTAATGTACAGCTGGGCCCAAGCTCAGGGGAAGGGCCAAATCAAAAGGCTGTTACTCCTCTATCCTTCACACTTAAATCCTTGTATTCAGGGGTAGGATGAAGCACTTTAGTGTCTATGGTTCTAATTCTAGACTGGAAAGAAGTGATAGTGTCTGTCAGAACAAGCAGACTCTAAAGATTTCCATGACCCAAAGGAGTAGAACATCCTAATAAAGAGAGCAAGCAATCCTGGCTATCGTTTCACCAGAGCAACTAAAAAAAAGTGCAATGCTACCAAACTGTGATTCAGATCTAGAGGAGAAGATGCAGGATTTTCAAACACCACCTTCTCATCAGCTTACAAAGGTTCCACTTACCTTACAAAATGCTACAAGGCAAGGCTTCTATCTAAACTTAAAACAGGATTTTAAATGTGCAAGGACTGCAAATTGCAGAAGTGTTTTCTTCACTTAGCTTGTTATAATCTGTACTTTAGAGTCCAAAAGCACACTGAAAACAAAGCCCTGCACAGGGGCGTAATCCAATAAATTGACCTCTCCCAGTTCACTCAAAATCTGATGACCACTGACATCATTAGAGATTAAAAGAGAATTACAGGGCAGTAATATATTACTGTATGAGTAAATCTGCTTTCTGAAGGCCTTCTTTATAAACATTTGCTGAGGAGCCTTTGTGATAAGTGGAGCAGACAGCAGAATTAGGAAGACTGTCATTGAACCAATCACCTGGGAAAGATCACTTCTGCCAGTGCATGCAAAAATCCCCTGTTATCTGCTCATGACTGACCACCCTGCAGAGGTAACTTGCAAAAGGAAGACAGAATACATCAGAAAAAACATGAAGAAGAGAAGATATTACTTAAATGAATCCTCAGAAAAGGCTTTGTACACATGCAAACTTTCATGTTATCCAAAATAAAGACATAAATCTTCACAATGAAGGCATATTGTGTATTTCCTTTCCCATCCAACTCCCATAATCTTTTATGAAAGAGGTTGATCATTGTGGGGCCGTAGTCTCAGAAGGTGCAGCCCCCACTTTCAAGCTTGGGTATTAATAGCAAATCTCCCAACATACAACCTCACTTGTTGCAGGATATCAATTGACAAGATCATGCAAAATCAGGTCATTTATCAAAATACCTAAATGTTCATATCTGTGTTTGAGAACTGCTATATCACACAGTTCCCTCAGTCATGCAGCAAAAAAATGACAGAGGCAAAAATACGAGACAATGGTATCTCCCAGTAGCAGAAGTCAGTAGACAGCAAACGTCTAAGCTACAACTGATATCGTAAGAGGCTGTATACAGGATCAGATGCATGCAAGGTGCAAATGGCTTTGGCTTCTGTTCCTGCTTATCTGCTTGTAATGTGACCCAGGCCAGGCTGTACTAGTGAGCAGGGGCTGCAGATCCCTAAGCCCCCTTGTAAATCTGTTTGCGGCAAATAGTAATTAAAAGCATTAGGTCCATGCAACACATATGTATGCATTATACGCTACTGAAATTTTATCAAGACTGCTTTAATGTGATCAGCAGCAAAACCCCCCACTCACTCCACTATGAGTGAGTCTCCTTTTGAAAACTGATTTTAATTAAGATCACTCTCCAAAAACTATAGAAAAGTTAAACACTTAGGTAGTTTAACATTGTTCGATACAAGGCTTATGCACATCACACATCTCAGCAGTCAGCTGCCAAGTATCTTTCCAAATCTGCACTGACCCTTCACACCTACTATGTTTAATTCTAGAAGCCAGCAATATAATTTAAAAAATGTTCACTCACTCATCTAGGCTCCACAGTTCACCAGTCTTAATCAACTATGGCATGATTTTTCTGGGGAGGGAATGTAGAATAGAAACCATGCTTGAACCCCCCCTAATGTTCTGATCTTTGACCCTTGCTGTAATTGATTCTGAGAACCCCTGTGTGATACGTGAACTGTGTAAAATGTGGTCTGAGGCTGTTTTCAAAGCCCCTCTTCAGTAATCATCCACTTTAAAATGTTTGTGTGTTATAGATTAAACTAAAACCTACAGAGGCATGAGCAGCCATGAAAGCAGCAATGCAAATAAAGTTTGAATATAAATGTTTCTCATTTGAATAGCTGACATCTGGAAGCAGCATCCTTTAACTTTATAAAGAGCAGACCTTTTGTTTTTCTGACTTACACAAGTGATTGATAGCTCATTAATGTCCCTGACAAAATCACACAGCAACAGCAAAAACATTACAGAGGGAAGAAAAAGCATATCAGAATAGACTTAACCCCAGATCTTAATTTTCACATAAGTAAATACATATTTTTGTGTTTTATTCTGATATTGATTGCTCAAGTGCTAATCCAAGTATAGTTTATGAATGTGGAGTTGTAAATACAGATATTCTGACTCTCTGTATACATTACAGTCTTCAAGTACAATACAATTTAACCTAAAGATACAGTCAAGACAAACAAATGTGGACTTTGATGGGGATCTATCCTTTTCACCCACCCTTGGTTGCATATTCAATGTAATTTTTTTCTCTACATTGTTCAGTACTTCTCAAAATGCAGCACTGAAATCCCACCAAGCACATCAGATGAGACTAGAGTAAACAGCACTGATGAAAGTAGTTGCAATGTTTTAACACAGCCACTGCACCTTTTTTATGAAGCAGAGCTTGATCCTTTGTCCCTTACTCAGCTGGAAGGACTCATTTTCTAACAGGACTTTAGACTTACGTCTGCCATTGTATGAGCCAAATACTATTTATGCTACTAATAAGAGTAATCTCATTCTCCATGCTGCAAGGAGCTAAGGAGAACTAAAGGCAAACTTAACTGGCACCTTAAGGTAAAGAAAACCTTTGCTAACTAAATAGTTTGTTCCCAGCATCTGTGTACCAGAGGACATGATGTGACATGGAAGACCATCATATTGCTCCAAGGGAACATCTTTGTAGAACATAAGGAATTCTTCTGCCCGGATGCAAGAAAGATTGATAATTATACAGTAATATGGTTTCTATTTTAGCTCTGTGGAGTCATGACAATTCAACACTGATTTTTTTTTTATTATATGTGATAATAAATGCATTTTATTTAACATGCTGTGCTGGGGAGAAAAATACATCATTCCACAAGGAAAATGTCATAATCTAATGGACCCCCTAAGCAATGCAGCATATTAGATCAAAATTATGTGGCAAAGCTCCAACATTTACGCAGCCAGTATTAGCAGAACAAAACTCATTCCTTACCCCCTGCCTGTTGCCCCAAGCCTTTTTTCCGTTCATGCCTCAGTCTAACACAGTTTACATTTCTTCTTGCAACTTTTTCCAAATGGAGTATGAGTTTTCTTGATTTCTTCTGCAAATGCATGTAATAGCTAAGGAGACTCAAGACTTCTTCAAAGATTTCTTTGGATAGAGAAAGAGCAGCAGAGACTGTGAGAACAACTATCAGCCTTATGGAGTCCCTAAACTGCTACATCACAGGCTCTGCCCCATAAAAGAAAGCTTCCCAGCTGCAGACCTCTAGAAGTTCACAAGAATGTGGTTTCCTTCTGCTTATTTAAGGCACTCGGCCAGAATGGAAATAGGCAAAGCTTACTGAAGCACATCAGAAAGAGTAAAGGAACAGAAAATGTTTCTTAGGTAAGCAGGGAGGTTTGAGAAATGTGAAGATGCAAACTGTTAAATGTTGGAAGTGATATGGGCAGCAAAACTGACTGAGAATGAATTTCAGGTCCTAAAGAACCCTAACAAAGGTGGGAGGATGGCAGAAGAAAGAAAGGAGAAGACAAAGAAAGATATCCTCTTCTCACTGCGATCTTAGCTTTGAAGAAGTAGATGTAAGTGGGGGTTTGCAGTCTCAGATCCACGGAAAATTTCCAAGCATAAAATAAAATAATCTAAGTTGAATCCTTCTTTACTAGAGGGATGAAAATCCCAAACATAGCTGAGAGGCAAGAGATCGAGAGGGATGACAGGATCTTCTCACTAAGAGCTCCTATTCCTACTTTGCTCCCTGTTGTAGCTGAGGAACACACCTCAGCCAATCCTTTCAGGTAGTTTAGCTTTTGAAGCCCAAATAATGGTCTGAGGGGAATATTCTGGGGTTCTAAAATTAGGGGCCACAGACAAGAAAATGTAGCTTCCCTTACCCTCTTCTGTCTTCCTCCAAACAGCAGAACCCTTTGCTGCCTCCCAAAAGTGTTAATTTTGGCCATCTTCTCCAAAGGACCAGAGACCTCACACTTACCACTTTCACTCTTAGAAACACCTCACTGCTGAGCTTTACAGTGTCAGAAGATTTTGAACATGTTGACCACATATTTAAAAGATTTGTACATTCAAGTCCCATCAAATGTCATGAAGGGCTTGAAAATCTTTGTCCTGAGGACCAAGTAATGTCCTAACAGTTAATAAAGCAAAAGAGGCCATTATGCTCCAGAAAAGAGGTAGGAGAATGGAACTGCGTATCAGTAAGTAAAAGACAGAGAGAATGAACTGGATCACTTCGAAGCAAACGCTATGTTTTCATAGTGGCCACGGTAAAATCGTACATTGCAACCAGCGAACAGTCGCACCTTACAGGAGAGGGGAAGGTGATCAGTCTGGGGAACCAGAAACCAGGAAAATGACTTGGGATCGTGATCAGCTGAGCATAAGTTCCCAAAGAAGATTTAACAAAGTCTTTGCGTATAAGTCAAAACAATTTCAGATGAGGGTAGGGGGATGAAGCCACCATTACATCAGGTGCTAATGTGATTGCTAGCAAAATACTATGTGCAGTTCTGGTGTTCAGAATTTAGAAAGGAAATCGATAAATTGGAGGGGGTTATAGAAACACTGAAGAATGACTGAAGAAAAGCTTGCTTTATACTGATAGGGCTCAAGGTCTTGCAATGATTTAGCTTAACAATGAGAAGGTTCTTCCAAGAGGCGGCTTGATCAGTGTTTTTAAGAGAAGGATTTGCAGTAACAAACTTTAAGCATATTGGTTAGGTTCTTTTACACACAGTATCTAATGACTGGAAGTTGAATCCAGATGTACATGGATTAAAAATAATGTGTGCATTTTAATGGCAAGGAAATTAACCAGTAAAACAGCTTATCAAAAGTTGTGATTGATTTCTTAGAAATATTTTACTAGGAAGCAGATTTTCCTAATTTATATCCTAATTTGAAAAATAATGAATTCAGAAAAGCTCAACTGACTATATTATCAAAGAAAAAAGATTAGATTGCTTTATAATCTTTGAATCGCTCTGGTTTCTTAACCGACCTCATTTTTCTTCCCCAGCTGGGTAAGTTCACATTGCTGATTGCAGAAGGCAATTGTATTATGACTGGCTTTCTTGCCTTGCTTGGAGCAGTTCACTTCATCTAACAGCTGCCTCAGTAGTCTGTTGCTTAAATAATAAACTACAGAAGTGCATTGTTAGAAAGCTAGAAAAATTATAGTTGAGAATATATTTTGTCCACTGTGTTATATATAAAGATGTGAAGCAGAGATCAAAGTACTTTGCCTCCCAAGTTTTTTGATAATAAAAAGAATTTCAGTGGTCGAGACAAAAGAAATAATCCAGAATGGAAGTATTCATTCAATACAAACCAGTGCGATTTCACTAACAGCATACACCTCCTCATAAGGGCTGGGTGAACAGTTCCAAGATGTCTGGAACAATACTAACACCTTAAAAGCTTTTTGTTTATCCTTGGTTAGGTTTGTGTCCTGTTTTTTGTTTCAGATGCAATCTTAAAAACAGAGCTCCAGCTGCTTTGGAGAAACATTGGGGAGGCTGTTTGTTTTCTAAAGTGCAGAGGTTTAGCTAGTGTGATAGTCTGAAATAAAACCTCCGTGCTTTGATGTTTCCTTACCCATCACTCCAGCAGCATGTCTTCCATACCCAGACTGATGAGGCGTAACAGTCCAATCAACTGTTTATCTGGAATTCACTAGTAAGAACATGTGCAATAAAATGATTCTGAACTCAGGCTGAACTGTGCTACCTGTAACTCAGAGACACTGTGTCTTTATCCAGTTCTGGATATTGTTTCATTAATGTAGAGGGACTACCGAGGAAAGATTCAGTGAAAAGAATTCAACTGTAACAGAAATAAGTCTGATATAAATAAATAAACTGCACGATTAATGGCATAAATGGTGAGGCAGTTGCGGAGGGCTACTCAATGCCCAGAGTAACCCTGCTGCCATATGGAAGGTCACACAGGAGTGGGGCGATGCTGGCCAACAGCAAAGGTGAAAATCGGTGTATTTCTGAGAAACTCATGAAGGCAATTCTGAACTGGATTCAGAGATGATCACGGAATTGGGGAAGGTGGCAGAGATGGGGGAGGAATGATGTATTCTTAATAAACAGAATGAGATTAGAGCATGCCAACAACATGCCACATCTTTCTTGCTACACACCATGTGATTGTGTGTAAGAAGCAATGTATTATGCACATGCCTAAAAAAGAAGGTTCTCCAGAAATGAGGTCAAATGCATTGATCTCAATTTCACCAAAGAAAATCTGCAATACATCAAGCAAATTCTTTGGTGGTGGTGTTAATTTATAGAGCAGAAGTGACCCACCTGTGATTACTCTACCAGTAAAAGTACAGCAAAAGTTATAGCAATAAAATGCCGGTAAGAAACTGCATGTATCTTCATTTGTTCTTAGAAAAAAAAAAAATTGAAAAAAAGTGATGTATGAATTGTACTGTAGAGGATTATGAAAATGGTAGTTTTGCAGATGGATTTACATAAGGAACAACAGTAAGTCATACTACATGGTAACAAAAAACTATTAATACGGTGCATGCATTGTGTGGGTTCAAGGTTCTTACCAAAATCAGCTCATCATTAGCTAGTTCTCGAGTCCAATATGTTTTGGGGCCATCTCCCTCAATAAGAGTTTGCTTGCAATAGATCTTGTTTTCATCCTCCCAAGTGGCCAAACTCTGCAGGCAAGAAAACCATTAGGAATAACATTAATTATATTCCCCAGCAGCATGAGGCAGAGAGACAACAATAAGCAGTAGTGACAATAATTGCTGCAGTAAAGGAGCAACACATAGACAGATAAAGTGAAAAAGACATCAATGGGAAGTGGTGAAATCAAAATCACATTAATGACAAAGTAATTGTAAATGTGCCTTTTCAATGTAAATCCACATTTGTTTCCAAATTAAAAAGCCGCCCAGTTTTCACAAAATGCTTGATGTTGAAAAGTGTAATTTAGAAACATGTGATAATGTAGTGTCTACATTCCCAAGCATCTTCGTACACATGTGGTTTGATCTGACATGTTATTTAACACTACAGAGTCCCCTTAGTGTAAAAGCATCAGGAATCATATGTATCGTTTTGTGGTAATAAATAATGCAGTGTTTGTCACAACCTTTCATGTTGTATGGCACTGTGCCAAGTTAACTGTGTATTAAACACTTATTGTACCAACAAACTGGAATAAACCACAACTAAATCAAAGAAACTTTGTTAGAATTCTAGTGTTTGCGATATTACTTTTTTAAGGTTGTGGGTCTGGAGATTGAAAAACCCTTGGGCATTTTTCAAAGCATTTCAATGATGACTATGGAATCACTGAAAAATAAAACAAAACCCATACCACAGGATTTTTTTGAGCTTTCACAAACAGGCAAGCCCTGACTCTGTTGCTTTTCATTCTAGCACTGAACTATTATTCTACATTGCAATGGAACAGCTGTGCAGAAGGATACCCTGTAATGAATGTGCAAGTAATCGCTTTATAATTAGCACACGGGAGACATTCATTAGTCTGTGATTGCATATATATACATATGTGTGCACGCGTATGTATGCATAAATTCAAGTTAATGCTTCCCAGACTTTCCAAGGGAAAAAAACTTTACTTTGATTTAAAATTAGCTGTTTTCAAAACAATAGGTTTTTCAAGCCATCTCACGTGGCAGTTACAGAAGCTATGCCTTGCAGTACAACTACATATGACTCGCTCTTTGTCTGGATGAACAATGGATCAAGTTAGTTGGCAGAACAAAACCCTCCACCCCATAAAGTGTATCAAAATCTATCACCAGTCAGCAGTTTTGCCAGATATTGCAAATTACATTCTGAAGTATTATTTTATTATCTGTCGGTTTCTGCTCTGTGGCCACAGCTTGGTTATATACACACAGCAGTACAACTTATTCCTGAGAATGGACTATAAATAATTTCACAACACATGGAAAAAATTTACTACTTCACAGAACACATTTCTTTCAGATTTTTCCAACCTTCATAGCTTACAGCCGTAATTATTGGTTTTCCATCTGCAGCAATAAATCCTTCTCTAGAAAGCAGGTCACATTTATTGTATGTGCATTATTCTTGAAGACACTAAAATACTACTTTTGCTGAACAAGATAAATTAACAAAGCCAGCAACATTTCCTGAACAAACTGTTCAGGATAACTCATCCTACAGATCAAGTGAATGTTCTAAACGTTCACTGACTCCCAGAATCTGCCTCTCTTTTCCATAAATGTAAATTCACAGCAATTGCACTGGGAATTTTCAGTGGTGCAAATGGTCTCAGAAGCTGGCCCAAGAATTAGCAGAGATCATATTTTGGAAAGTAGATTATTTCACCATCACAGGTTACTTTTAAAACTGTATTCTCATTTGGGACTACATTCTGATACTCTTTATTCATGCTTCTTTTCTAAGTGTTTTATATATACTTGTAAGTGTGAAAGTAAAGTGCCTGAGGAAATAATAACTGACCCATGCCTTTGACAACTTTTTTCAAAAAACAGCTATGATCACAGCCCTGTTCTCCAATCCCCCGGATCCCATGTATCTACCCCAGTGAGCAGCTAGTGTCAGACGCTGCTGACTTAGAGCCCCCTCCAAGGCCACAGAAGTGGTTACAAAGGTAGAGAGGCAGGGGCTCACGCACAGAATCAAGTCCAGAACACTCCAGTGAACGCCCTCTAATGCACTTCTGCGCAAGGAGATGGTGTAATTACGGCTGGTATAACACTAGCTGAAAGTCTGTCTTACGCTGTTAAAGACTTATCTGAGCAGCAAACTGGAGACCTGCACTTGCAAGGGAATGAACGAGGATTTCAGCCCCAAACTACCCAACAGTCTGCGGTCCTGCTTGTGGAATTGGCTGATTCATTTCAGGACAAAGTTATGCCAGGTTTGTGCACTAAATCCTGACTCTTGAGGTCTCCCTTGCTCCACCATTCCCCATGTTCCCACCAGGGACAGAGGTTGGGGAGAGCATCCACTGCAGCTGAGCTCTCCAGGGGAGAGGGAAGCAAAAAGAGCTGCACAAAACCCTGCCAGCCAAGGAGGCAGCAATCAAGTACTCCGACTCTGCCTTTCAGACCTGCCATGCTCTGTTGCCTTCAGATTTCAGTTTTACCCTGTCTTGCAAGAGGGAGAATGTCGGACGAGGGACAGGAGGAGCGGCGACCACCAAGAACCCCCAAAGTGTATTTCCGGGAAGAAGAAGGTAGAAGGCACAATGTCCCTTCCTGGGGACACCGGCAACAGCAGATGTGTTTGGCCGATCTAGAAAGAACTTGGTTCCACACACACATGCACACACACACACACCAGCTCCCCTCCTACCCTGCACTTTCGTCCATCCACCGTCTCCTCCTCAAAGCTCTCCCCAATTTTGAAGTTGATCTCAGTGGTGCGGACAGTGGTGGAAGTTTTGATGTAGAACTGGTCCCCGTCCTGGCGGATCTCCACGTGGGGTTTGGAGGCTGCGGCCACCGCCACCTTCCTGAGCATGGCGTTGACACC